AAAGGTTCAAGATAAAAAAATCCAAGATCTTAATATTTAAAAAGAATTTCTCTAACCCACCTTCCCTAATAATTTTGAAACCAAGCCCAGAGATATTAAATAAGACTAACATTTAACATTAAAAAATCCCAATATAGGTTCAAGCCTACAATATCTGGAAAAAATATCCAAGCATCCAAACTAACCTTTAACATTAAAAAATCCCTATAGGTTCAAGCCTACAATATCTAGATAAAATATCCGAGCATCCAAGATATTAATATTTAAAAAGATTTTCTCAAGCCCACCTTCCCTAATAATTTAGAAATTCCCAATATAGGTTCAAGAAAAAAGCATCCAAGATCTTAATATTTAAAAAGAATTTCTCTAACCCACCTTCCCTAATAATTTTGAAACCAAGCCCAGAGATATTAAATAAGACTAACATTTAACATTAAAAAATCCCAGTATAGGTTCAAGCCTACAATATCTGGAAAAAATATCCAAGCATCCAAGACTAACCTTTAACATTAAAAAATCCCAATATAGGTTCTACCCTACAATATCTGGAAAAAATATCCAAGCATCCAAGACTAACATTTAACATTAAAAAATCCCAATATAGGTTCAAGAAAAAAGCATCCAAGATCTTAATATTTAAAAAGAATTTCTCTAACCCACCTTCCCTAATAATTTTGAAGCCAAGCCCAAAATTTATAATTAATGAAGAGGAAATCTCTAATTTACCAATTATTCTACAGGTAAAATATATTACTTTATAAAAATAATAACATAAGACTAACATTTAACATTAAAAATTCCCAATAAAATTTTGAGAAAAATTATACTTGATAAATAAGAGAATGTTCTATTTTGTAGGTCCTCGCTATCCCTAGTGCGTTTCTTTTTTTGATTGATCTGCCATCTTTTTCTTTTATTAATGATAGAATCACCACCTGTACAATCATTAACTGAGGTTAGGACATGGTTTGTTATCTAAAATAGAAACAAAAGAATAAATAAAAAAAATAAATGCATTGAACTTGATGAGGAGTCAATATACCACTTGTACAATCATTAAATATGGGTAAGACAGGGCTTGTTATCTAAAATAAAAACAAAGAATAATATAAAGAATATAAATGCAATGAACCTGAAGAGGAGTCAATATTAGGTTCAACTCCCTAGAAATAGTTGGGACATTATCAGAAGCTAAAATAGATATATTCTATAATATAAAAGAGTATTAAAAAAATATATATAGGAGGCTAACTTTATTTTGAGTTGTTAGATTTTGTAGGGCCTCGCTATCCCTAGTGCGTTTCTTTTTTTGATTGATCTGCCATCTTTTTCTTTTATTAATGATGGATAAATCACCACCTGTACAATCATTAACTGAGGTTAGGACATGGCTTGTTACCTAAAATAAAAACAGAAGAATAAATAAAAAAAATAAATGCACTGAACCTGATGAGGAGTCAATATACCACCTGTACAATCATTAAATGAGGTTGGGACATGGCTTGTTATCTAAAATAAAAACAAAAGAATAAATAAAAAATAGATTAATGTATTAAACCTGAAGAGGAGTCAATATTAGGTTAACCTCTCTAGAAATAGTGGGAATATCATCCATCATAAGCTAAGTATTCTAAAATGAAAAGTATAAGCCTTTTTAGTATATATAGATGTATAATTTATTTTGCATTTGGTAGATTTTATTGGGCTTCATGTCTAAAAATATTTTCTATAAAAAAAATAAAATAAAATCAATAAAAAAATAAAAATAAAAATAAGTACGTACCGATGACATGACGTAGCGATAGCATGACGTAGCGATGACATGACGTAGCGATGACGTAGTGAGGACATCGGAAAATTATAATATAGATAATTATCGATGGTATTTAAATTTTAGTAGTATAAATATAAAGATCGAATATAAAAAGGTGAGAAAGGAAAGAAAAATAAATTTTTTATAATATAATATTTTAGTTTGATTATTATTTTTATGTTTTAGCTTATTTATGTTATTGTAGAATGATTTTGATTGACTATATATGTGAATAAATTAATTTAGCTTCTTCAATTCGTATTATATTAATAACTTGTGTTCTAACAATTATTAACTAACAACTTATTAATATTTAGTCAAATGCAGTTAGAGTAATTAATTATATTAATGATGCTTCTCTTACATCATTTTTTGAGCCAACAGCAGCAAAAGTTATTAGGCCTAAAAGTGCCTAATAATATACAACAGACTAACTCCTCGACTTTGAGATCCTAAAAAAGAAAATAGATCTAAGGTGCTGGCATTTATTTTTAGATAATAACATTATTAATATTAATAGTTTGACTATAATATAATTATTCATCATTAAACTAATTGTTTTAGGTGTCATAGCAATGAAATAACTAATTACCAGGAACACCCTTCTGTTATTAGATTTATAAAACAAAAAGCATCAATGATATATATGCTACAGAGGTGGAAATAGATTATGCGGATACCATCTAGTCCAAATTTTCAGTTTTTTTAATTGAAAAGACACCAATACCTGGAATGCAAAAATTTTATAATATTTATAATATTTATAATATACACAAATCATTTTTTCAATCATTTTTCTATTTTAAGGCTTATTTGGGATATTGTATTGGCATTAAATATTTTCCATAATCTAATATCTATACTGTAATTTTCCGATGTCCTGACTATGTCATGTTATTGTGACTTAATTTTTATTTTTAACAAAAGTTTTGTCGGTTAAAAGGATAGATGTATTTACAAAATTATCTGTACCTAAATCCATCAGAAATGAGGTTTTAATTGTCGTGATTGTCATTATTTGTAAAATGGCAAATCACTAATGGCAATACAGAGGACTCAGTAGCGTCGCTAGGGAGGGGGCGCGCAGGGGCTCAAGCCCCATGAAGCAAAAATTTTTTTTTAATAGCTCCTTAATATACCCTTGAACTAATAATAAATTTTTTTGATTTCCCACTGAATGATTTCTTTTATATATATATATCATTGGAATGGATGTAATAAATCAGATAACTTTTCTTCTCTTTTTACGTGTTTTTAGGAAAGCTATTTTTTCTTATTTGAAAAACAGTTTTGAGTTAAATTTTTAATACTAGTATATTTTTGATATTATTACAAACTACTACTATTTTAAGATATAATATACCAACTAGAGGTGGTGCGACAATAATATATAATCTTAATTAATTTCTTTTATCATATCATATCACTCTGGGTCTTATTTTATAGTTACAAAATGTTTCATTTCTAATATGGCATCCCTGTTTTGTAAATAACTTAAGGCTTCAATACATTTGCATAACTTCTTCTAAAGATTTTTAGTGTTTTTGTTTTATCAATTTATCTAGCATAATAAATTCTGGCAAATTAACCAGCAACTATTATTTGTGTGGCTATGTAATTTAAGATTTACAGCTGCTGAGAGCATATGAATGCATATTTTATAAGCAATAATGGTCAACTGTGTAGTTGTTTATATATCATTAAAAATGAAGATAATCTTTTAGAAATTTAATATCTCACAAATTTTTTCTCAATTACTTATCTAGCTTCCATCATGTCTTTAAGAGAAAGCTCTAACCACCATATAGTTTTATGATTTGGATTGGTCGTTTATATTCTCTTCTCCAAGAATTGTTGATTTGGTTAGGCCTATAAATTTTTCCTTATTAGTCCATTCTATAAAACATTATCTAAAAATAGTAACAGAGCGTTATATTAGTTTCTTGACCTTTTGTCAATGTAAGTTCAATGATATATATATCATTGTGTAAGTTGCTAATTTAATAATATGTAGTTTTTAAAAACCATTATCAATTGAGGCATATGTATGAATTAATTAACCTTTTTTATCACTTGTAATTCTTTAGAGGCAAAATTTTTCATATCAACAATCGAAAATATTTTATACAGTAATAAATAGATTTTGTATTATAAAATAATATTTTTACAATGTTTTATATTGTTTTAATTATTTATATGCTAGTTTATTTTCTATGCATAATATAATAAATGACAAAATATGAAACTTAGAATAATTATTCAGAGTTAGCAAATTTTTGAAAAGTATAATATATTAATATAAAACCCGGCCCGCCCCCCATAATTTTTTTTTTAGTTGAGCCCCCTGAGAATGTAAAAGCTAGCGACGCCCCTGAGAGGACTCATATGTATGGACACTTAAATTAAATTCATTATAGAATGAATCGACAATCTAGATAGAAATATCATTGGTGTGATTTAACTTTAAGATTTAATTTTCAACTTTTTCTTCAAAAATTTGAAGAGGTTTTATTAAAATAAAATATATAATTTTTTACAATTGAAAACGTAAATTCAAGAGCACACCTTTTTTTTCAAACAAATAAAAGGAAAAATTAATAATAAGTTTGGGTTTTATATATTCACAAATTCGGTTTACAGCTACAACTTGATAAAAATATTTTATTTTACAATTTGGTTTTTTCCGAAAATGTTTTTTTTTACTGATTTTCGTATGTATTTTCTGTAGAGAGTTTTTTTAGGGCAATTCTGTGTAGTGGAAGGAAGGGGGGATGGAGGGGCCGGTAATTTGTGGGTTTTTTTCTGAGTTTTTTTTCTATGATTCTATTTATTTTTATATGAGCCGTTGTTATTTAGTATGTCACTTGTTGATATGCAAAACTTTCATTTTCTCTAGATTTCCTAGGATCATTTATAGTAATTGGACTCTATTTCTATAGCATAACACTCTTTTTATCAGGAATTTTTATGCTATTGATATACTAGATCTTATCTTTTCTACAAATATGCCTTTATTTGAAGTATTATAAGGAGGAAAGAATAGTGTTATACTTTTATATTTTATCAGAATTAACTGCCTGAATAAAATTTGCATTGGCCCAATGATATATTCATTGCATTGGCCTTGACTGCACCTTTTTCGATCATATGGTAACGTTCTATTTGAATTTCTTAATTTCTTCAACTCAAAGAAATTTAATTCATGGAGATTATAGGTATATTTTATCAAAATTCCATATTTAAATAATTTGTAAGGTTCTGCAAATTTATCAATTCAAAAACATTGTTTCACGAAATGGGTTAATTGTATATTTAATAAGGTATTTTATGAATTGCATGTATCTATAAATTTATTTTTAGAATTTAAAACCTCTTATTAATAATATATATGATGATTTTCGTGATGGATCAAAATTATTGGATCTTTTAAAAATTTTAACAAAAGAGGATATAGTTATAAATTTTATAAGTCTAATCTAATTATATATCAGAATTCTCTCAATAAAGATTTGCCCGATCAAGATTTAAATAAAATAAATTGTTCTCTAGACATAATTAAATCTTATGATGTAATAATGGTATAATTATGATTTAAATTTAATTATTTGCTTAGATTGATTTTAATGATATCACAAGTAAAAAATTATTGCAAGGTGATCACAATGCTATATTAAATTTATTATGGAAGATTATATATTACTGGCAGGTATAGATTATTTTAGTATATCGTTAAATATTATATTAAAAAATAAGGTTAAAAGAATTATCAAAATGGATATTTCAAATAATCAGAGTGAATCTTATTTATTATCTTGGTGTAATGAAATTCTAAAGAAGTAATTTATTAACTTGCTTTTCTAATATCATAAATATATAAATTTAGGCAATTTAAACAAAAAAAATTGTTGCAATAATATATAAAAATACCAATTTTAGCTTGTTTATATTAATTAGATATTGTCAGATAATATTTATTTTAACCATTAGTTCTAATAACTAATTATTAATTAGAGATATAAACATTTATTATTGTTTAATGATGATTTTAAATATCTATTGTTTTAAAATTTTATGTCCAAATTTTTTAAATTTATTATCTAGTTAAAACATAATTGTCTGAAATAATATATTAATATTGAAATAATTTTAACACTATTTATATACATTGGTGTTTATAATTAAATATTTTAGAAATTTTATATTTACATCAGATCTGCAGAAATCAAATTTATAGGTGGAATATGGATTTAACTCCCCACCCCCCCTAACACTATCAAACAGGCTGGACACAATTGTTTAAACAAATAATATTTTTAGCCCAATTTAGGTTTTTATTATTTTTAAAACCTGGCCTGACAGATTTAAAAACTTTTGTTAATTTAATTTTATTGATTGTATTCTGTATAGGGACTGGAAGTATGAATAACATATTAAATTAAATATTTTAGAAATTTTATTTAATTTACATCAGAGACCTGCAGAAATCAAATTTTTAAGCCAAATGTGGATTACTCCCCCTCCCATCACATTTTCAAGCCTGGACTGGACACAATTATTTTAAAAATTATATTTTTTAGCTAACTCAGTTTTTTTTTACCTGGCCTGACTTAAATTTAATTTTGTTAATTTGTTTTATTGACTGTATTCTATATATTGTTTTAAATAGAGACTGAAAGTAAAAAATGAATATTACATGAAGGATCAACTAGTTACTTAATATAATATATATATATTTTAAGCTTGGCTTGAATTTTTAAAATATCAATTAAAGATTAAAAATCTGATAAAGTAGACCTGGCCTGTACACAATCTAGCCTCTGGACATACTTTTTTAAAATTGGTTATGTTGAGTCTAATTTTTTTTTAAAAATTGGAACATGCTGGTTCAAAATTTTGAAAAAAATTGATATATAATTTTGAAATAAAATTGAAATAAAATTGATATACAATATTGAAATAAAATTGTTATACATTTTAGAAATAAAATAGATATATAATTTTAAATTTTGTAAAAAGGCACAAATATATTTTATTTGCTTGTATGATAAAAACTATGTTCAGTGTAAATTTAATTAAACTCAGAGACCTACAGACCCAGCCCTAAGCCCGGGTACATGGGCCATGCTGTATCTTAATTTTTTAAATATACCTGGCAGGCCTGAAAATTTAAAAAAAAAATATCCGGGCCATGTATTTTAAAACCAAATATTAGGTATTACCATTATTAGCTAAAAAATCAAAAATAAAAAAAATATATTTAAAAAAAATCCGGGCCAGACTGGGCCATACAAATGGTACCTCTACAGGTCTCTGATTAAATTATATTGAAAAAAATTAGTTTGTATATTTAAATAAAATAAAGCCTGGTTAGGGACGAATATTTTTATTTCAAGTCAGCCTTTTTGGGACAAATAAATTTTTTTTGTTAAAAATTAAGCTGAAGATTAATTATTTTAAATTTTTTTAGGCCTGGTTTGAAAAATTAGGCCCAATCAGATCACTAGTAAAGATAGCAATCACCTCAAAGATAGGTGTGCTCTAATATTTTCAAAATTTTTGAGTTCCACCTTTCATAAAATCTTTTTGAAATTATTATTTCTTTTATCATAAAATATTTATATATTAAATTAAATTATAATCTTATTAATATAATTTTTGTATTTTAAAAATTTTATGTGAATTAATATATTAAGTTACACTGGTCTGATTGTGAGGGGCAGATGGAATCCCCTATTTCAACTCTGCTTTTAATTATTCTACATATGTTTTCAATGAAGTTTTGATCAGGACTACTACCTATACACCATTCCATGGTATTACCCAGGAGCCACTTTTTATAAAAAAATACGTTGATTTAAAATAATATTTGCCAACCTTTTCCACTTATGTGACTTTGAACCATCCGTAAATTTCATTGTTTTTTGAGGATAATGAGGAGTGAAAGCTTCTGATTGGGTTAAGGCCATATACCAAAGTTAACCTAGTTTAGTCACATTAATAGACTATTTACTCAGCATGCCATTTCTTTGGAGTTATCAAGTATGACTTCTTTTTAACCTCGTATTATAAAAATATAAAGATTTAAAATAATAATATTTTTACTTTATTGATAGAAGGAATACAAATATTCCATAGAATGTATTCCAAGATGACACTCACAGAAACATATGTCCATATTCTTTTAGACCATCAAAATTTATTAATTTACATTTTTATATATTACTTAATAATATAACTTATAATTAGGTTGTCAAAAAATTTATTAAAAAAATACCTTTTATGTAGTTTGGAAATTTATACATATGGGATGGGGTGTAAAATGATGGTGACTGAGCATTTATGATATTAAGTTATATTTTATATTAGTAAAAATGATCAATTAATTTTGAACAAAATTTGCTCAAAAATCCTGCTTAAGCATAAAAAAAATCTTTATTTTATCTTCAGAGGTCAAAATCTTTGTAAAACTCTGAGCAGTTTGTAAATCCCCGTTTAAATGTTATTATCACATTTTAAAGAAACAAGCACCGGATAATTTCATGAGCCTAAATATTTGATGAGGCCTGACCCAAGCCCATAGTAAAAAATTTTTTAGGTACAGGCCCTGCCTGGCCCATATTTAATATTAAAAAATATTCCCAAGCCCATGCTAAGTTTCAAAAATTTTCCCAACCCCGACTTACCATATCTAAAAATTTTATTTATTTTTTTAATGAATGAACAATATTTTAATGTGTTTAAGCAATCATTTTGTTTGCAATGCTCAAATTTATTATTTTAAAGAAAAAAATGGTAATTTTTTTTAGTTAGCAACTGCTTTAAATAAGCTAAATTTAAATAAATATTTTTTAGGCCCAAGACCCATTAAAAATATTTTTCAAAAACCCAGATCCTCTAGAATATAATATGGGGTGGCAGACCCGCCCCTTGAAGGTCTCTGTAGGGCACTTCAATTCTCGAGCCACGATTATTTATATATTTTAAATGATTTTACCATGTATACAAGTGTCATCAAAAGGCTACATGGATTTATTTAAATACTTGCTAGGCCATATGTTTTTTACCGTCACTAAACAGATAGTTTAAGCCTGCTTATTTTGCATATTATTTTAAATTTTGAATAATTTCAATTATTTTATTAAAAAATTTTATTCTTGTATTTCAATAAATTTTATATTATAAGAGCATTTTTTAAGAACATGAAATATTTTTTTATCTAGGTATAACTTGGAAGTCAATAATTTTGACTCCGATTGGAAAAATGGACAGGCTTATAACGCATTATTACACAGTTCAAATACAAAATTATTTGATTTTTCAAAAATAAAATCTATGAAACCCAAAGACGCTCTAAGCCATGCCTTCAAATTAGCCAAAACTAATTACGAAATCGAATCAATTCTGGAACCTTCAGGTTTTTTCCTCTTAGAATTTTAAAATATTTTATATATTCTTAAAATTTATTTTTATTTCAACAATTTTTATAAATCTATAACAGTCAAATTTTTAACGGTGACCAACTTGATATAATCAATTGGAATCACAGACAGAACTGTTCTGGACAAAAAGAGGACAAAAATACCAACTGACAAAAAGGCGCCGGAGAAATTCCCCAATTTTCAAAATATGTTTAAACTCCTAAAAATGGTTTTAAAATTACCACCATTTAAACCTGTTCTAAAATTGGGATATTTTTGTCCAGGGATTTTTTGTCCGCGTCTTTTTCTCCAAGTTCTACCCATGATTATTACAATATTACTAAACCATTTTATTCTGTCTTTAATCAATATCATTGATAACCTTACGAATTTGGAAAAATACATCACGGGGCTAGAAATATATATACCGTCACCGTAATGCAGATCTCCCAGCCTTATTTATTTTTTAGCCCAAGCATGACTTTTGGCTACCTGAGCTTTACAGTAATAAATATGAATAATAAAGCGACACACCTGATTACTGTGATTTAGTTATTTCTGAATTTAAAAAGAAAACAATTCTTAAAATTTTAAAGATATTTTTTTCAAATTTATGATGTGTATCTCAGAATATTATTATCCCTATCTGTTTGCTACGTATGACTTAAAATATTGATTTTTCTAAATTAAACATTTTTATTTATATAAAATTAGTTATTAGCCTAGTATTTAATTTTAATGAGTTATTTTTGGTCAACATCCTAGAGTGGTCATGTAATGATAACTTAAAATGTAAAATATTATGGTTTAAAAAGTAAACACCTTACTAATTTAATAAACCAACATTTTTTTGCTAGTTAATTTTCTATTTTTATTAAACCATGATATTATGAGCGAGATTTGGTATTTATGAATTTTTTTTAAAAATAAAGATAGGACAATACCTGTATAAAGCCAGCATTTATTGATTTTTTTATAACTAACAATTTATTAATTTCCACATTGTACATCTGTTTTTAATGATGTATAAAATAAAATCCCTTTAATGAGTTGATTAACAAATTCCTTAAAAAAATAACCTATCATATTTTGGCGGATCAGCCGATTTTTAGATTAACTTGAATTTTTTTTTATAGAGCAACTCAAATTATAAACTTAGCTAATATATTGTCAACATTTTTAATATTCCTGGAAGATAACTGGATTTGGCATGCAAAACGCGCCTTTATATAAATAAATTATTTATTAATAATATATATTTTTTTTTAAATTTGTAAGTAAAAAAAAATATTGGAGATTTTGGAAGAATAATTAACAATTTTTTTTAGTATAATAGAAGTTGTTTAATTGAGTACAGCAAGGGAAGGGATCATTTCCACATTGAAATTGAAGAATTCTTTTCCCCTCCTGCTGAAAAAATTTCCCCAAATCGAGAAGTCACTCCGCGATCATAAAGAATAACCAAATTAAATATGGGTCTTCTCCCTTTTATCAATTAATTTAAAAAAAAACATAGACAACATTATGATATTTTAAGAAAGGATAGTAAAAATAATATAGATATTTTATTCTATTATTGTGTTGTGACACGTACAAAATGTTGACATTGAAACATTATAAAAAATAGATTAATTTCATTAAATTTGCATTGGAAAATATTCAAAATTAACGTATCCCATATAATTTTTCCTAAATCAAAGTCATAATTTATCATAAAGTATTAAAAACATTTTGAAAGTTAAATAATTATAATATTTTTTAAAATAATTAAAACGGATAATAACTATTATTGATTTATTGATTAATTTGTATTGTGGTTTCCTTTCCAATTAATAATTTAAGACTTAAATTGAATGTCAATAAGGAGGCGTGGGAGATAAAATTACAATTTTAATCTTACTATTTATACCAATAAGATCTGTCTAATTCAAGTCCTTTACAATCAGAGTTGCCAAATATCCTTTTTTAAAAGCTAAAACTATACCCTGCTACACGTGAGACAAGGTAAATGGATCTTTAATAGGCTGAGACTTACGGCTAATTTTTCAGATCAGACAAATTTTCATATTATAACCTGAGCAACTAGTTTTAGATAAATTTTGTGGACACAACATATTTTATTATGAAATATCTTTAAATTGTAACTTCACGAATTAAAATAATTAACGATATAAACCTTTTAAATTAATGCTTCATAATTTTAAAATAATTGATTGCAGTTATTTTTAAAATTATTATTAATAACATGACAACCTAACCTAATTTGGCCAAAATTTTTGGACCGTTTCAGCTCTTAAAAGAGATTGATTATTATAATCATGTCATTATTTATCATTATTTTCTATTAGTTCTTGTTAAAATATTTCGAAAATCTGAACTCATGGTGAAATTATTTATATTATCTATTAAAAATAGTATAATATATACATTCGCATTCTCGCATATGATGAGATTATTTAAAGAGAACGTTTAAAATAGTAGAAAACCTATCCAACTTGAGCGGGTTATTGATTTTATCCAAGCCAAAGACAATCAATAAGAAATTTATGATCGACAGGAATCAATAAGAAATTGTTTTATGATTTGACAGAATTTCCTACAATTGGGGCAGTTGGTCAGTTCCCGAAGGATTTAAATTAGACGTCATTTAATTTTATGATTCTGTAGTTTGATTGTCTAAACCAGTTTTTTTTTTTACTTTATTAACTAATAAAATTTATCAAATAAATTTTTAGTCAGCCACTAAATTTTTTTATAACCATAAAGCACGTAAATTTACCATAATTAAAGTCAGATATAGATTAAAATGAGATTGCCGAATGATAAAAGAGCTTTTATTTTTTTTCCTTGCCTTATAGATTATTCTAATATATTATATTACTTTTTAAATAATGCATAATTAACATTTTCAGATAAAAAAATTAAAATAGATTATACATTATCAAAAAATAGAAATCGGTGGAATTAAATTTTCTAATTTTATACAAATATAAAATGAATAAAAGAGCGTCATAGTTATTTGCTTATTTAAATATAAGTATCGTAATGATAAAAATTGATATATTTATAATGATGGCATGATGATTATAAACATAACCCTCATATCAAATTTTTTTTTTAATAAGCAAAGTGTGTTTAGCAAATCTAAATTTTATAACACGTATATATTGTATGTTTGTGCAAGACCTCTCTTTTCAGCATCCCCTTGATGACATGAGCTATAGACGCCATTATTTTCAAGTTTTGAATCTGTTATGCAAGTATATAGATTATATATTTGTCATATAGTGTTTAACAAATTTTCAGGGCTAAGCTTCATTATCTCGGGTTTTAAAAATTTAAGAACTTAAATCATTTATACGTGCGTTTTTAATTTTTATAAAGATCTGATTTTTTCCGAATCATATTCCAGCAAGTATAGAATACGGATCCTGAGAAGTGAATCTCGTATAATTTTATTTTGAATTTTTGTATATATGAAAAAATTTTGTAAATTAAGGGTATTTAAAAGGTAAATCGATTGAAATTATCCTGTAATTATATCACCGTGTTATTGCAAAAATATTAGTTAACATCTTTTAAATAATTCTTATATACAAAAAAATATATTTATAGTGCTTGGCACAAAGGTAGGGATACTGAGAAATGACACTATCTTATCCTGGGACAGTTTTTTTTTTTGAAATCAACCCTCTCAAAAAGGTTATGGCTAGGATTGAAGGCAACAGTGATGTAGGTGAGAGTTAATAATTAAAATTCGGTGTTATTGCATTATAAAATGCTCGTTGTTTAGGAAATTGCTATATCCCGACGTCTTATATTATTACCCGAAATTCACAAAGTAGGTTTTATATGCAAGCTGGAATACTATTCCGGTTGAGTTTCTCTCAAAAATAGTTACTTTTCAAAAAATTAAAGAATTCGGGGTTTTACCTAATGAGAAACGTCGCTAATTATTTTATTCTTAGTCGTTTTATGACAATGATATTGTTTTATTTTTATGAATATAGGACAAATATTTTCGAATATATTATTATTAATATTCTAATAATTTAGAATTCTTGGCATTAATTTTTTTATGGATAATCAAATAATAATAAATGGTTTTACTCAAAAAATCCAAGTATACGTAAAATTTTAATTTATTTTCTTGAAAAATGGTAAAACAATTTTAAAAGAAGTAAAGTATAGCGATACCAACCATTTAACACGTAGTCCACTTTTGTTATTCCTTACACCCTGAATTAAATTTTACATTTATACCAATTTTTTCGTTGAATTTCGGTCAATGCGCAATTGAGTTTCTTTAATGTTTTGGCCTTTTTTTTTACTTTCAATTTATTCATGTATCTTTCTTTTATTTCTTGAATTAGTTTTTGCATTTTATTTTTAATTTCCACATTCGAGAGACCGTGTATATATTATCAAGTTATTTGCGATATGATGCCAATTCGGAAACCTGTATAATGAAAGTTATATATTTAATAAATTAGTTAAATTTTTTTATGCCTGAAAATTTAAATGAGATTTAAACCTATAATTTTTTTATTGATTCAATTAAGTCTTTATAAAAAATAATACATATATTTAACATATTATTATAAGAAGCAATTAATATTACTGCATAATTTAAATTATAAAAAAAGTAATACCTAATTAAAAAATTAAAAAACATTTACTATTTTAAAAATAACATATATTTTACAAAGGAAAAATTAAATTATGCTATAATTTTTAAAAAAAATCTAAAATTAAAAAAATATATCACATAGAATCGTAGATTAGATCAACATGTTTCTACCCTATGTTTTACCTCATATAAAAATATTCCTTTGAATTGCCATAGATAACTGATAGTTTTTTCCCTAATATATTTAAGGACATTGTCTTTTCCTCAAAGTTGCCATGTGGAGATAGGTAGTAATGCAAAATTGCAAATTTTGAGCTGATTTAAAAAAATGGTTAACTGCTTTAGCCAGAAAAATATTGCTTAAGCCTCGAGATTTCGCTAATAAATGTCCAAATATTTGTGCCCTCAAGCTTACGTAACATTTTTTCTGGATAAAATATTAAGTTGCCTTTTTTAAAAATCGGAAAATTGGTTTTTCTTTATATAGAAAAAAAATGCGAGATATCCTCCCTCAACAATAAGGATATTATCCCTCCCCCAGACTTTAAAATCATTTTGCACGAGGAACTCTCTCTTTTAGGTTCTCTTATAAGTTTTTTCCTTTTATGAAAATTTTTTTGACAACTTGATTCAATCCCTTTCTAATTCTCTAAAAAATCTAACTCACCTTCCCACGCATCATTTTTTTACCTCACCAAAAAAATGTTTTTTCTTACCTAATTCCAGCACGTCTTTAAATCTTCTCCGATCTTCCAATATAATTCCCTTTTTAAGTCCTTCAAATTAAAATTTAAAAATCGAAAGTCCTAAAGTTTTCTGATTTTAATTGGTCACCTATTGCCGGGGCACTTGGATTTTTACCTCTCCCATTTAATGGCAATGTTTCCTTTTCTCGAATATTATCGAGTTAAACGATCCAATTCTAGATTCGATCAAACAATCTAGGCTTACTTCAGTTCTCCAAGGTTCCGACCACCCCGTTTCCAACCATTTAAAGAGCTTTCTAGTTTCCATGCTTCAATGTGCATGAAAAATTTTGTTTGTCTCCTGATCTTACTAACCTTCAACTACTTACTGGCAAGACGCAATTCCGAGTAGGAAAAAGGAGATGTGACCTACAAACGATGAGTTGTAAATTGCCATTGACTATAGGTTAGGCTGTCTTATTCCGTCTATTGATATTTGTGATGATTGCAATAAGCAAGTTGGTCCATTTTCTAAACATTGTTTCTATAAAGTCATCGACCGCTTTTTGTGACATGACAATCTGAATCGGTAGATTGGCAAATCTTTGATTTTCGATGCTTTCCCCAATAGTTTGGAGCTTTAAGGTCTTTTAAATAAGGATGACAAACCTCCCAATGGCATGTCTTTGACATATTGGCACTGAGGCAAAAGAGTTATTTCCAATCGAAATTCTGAGCTCTTGTAACTCCAAGAAGTTAAAAATTCAATAAATATAGGTCCCTTTTAAATCATTTATTTTTGCCCGTTTAATCTTTAGTGTTTTGGGGAACCTCGGTCCCCAATCCCTAAAAAATTGCATGAGGTATTTTATTATTCACTCTTACACTTAATGTATCAGATATTAAATTGTTTATCTGTAAATTAGTATATATTTTTTAAAATCTTACTTCATTTACTATTTTTTTTATAGTGATTATCTCCTTATCCTTAATTGGGAAATCAGCTAGCTAACTCCTTTTTTTTGAGTTTTAAACCTAATCTCAATACTTGGCTAAGCCGTTTTGAAAACGGTTCAACTTAAGTAATTTCTCAAAACTTTTACAACGTGTAAAACTTTATTGTAGGTCAGGTCCGGTATCTGCGCTGGCTGTTATCTTTAGAACTGCTCTTTTAAATGTGTTTATAAAAATTTGCTAAAAAAACGGGATCCTTGGTCAGAATGAGGTCACCTTTAGGAGTATAATATAAATACATGTTATCATAACCTCTAAGGCTTTGTCCTAGCTTCATCATTTTTGTTCTTAATTTTGAAAGCATTCTATTTAAAAAAACAGATAGGAGTGTGAGAAAACCCTGCAAGCCGCTCCATCAACATTTGCAATTGTAAAATATAAATTAAACGCATTTTTTTTATTAAGTTAAATAAAATCACTTAATTACTATATCCGAATCCAGAGAAATTGGAACTATTATTTTATATAACAAAATAAGCGGAAAAAAAGTATTCGAATAAAGTAAAAGCACAATGAATTATTTGAAATTGTTTCATATGCAGTAATGTCAATGGGGGGAGGCGCACAGAGACTAAAACACCCGGAAAATTTTAATTTTTTTTTTTGAAAATACCTAAAAAAAGGTTATTTATTGTTAGCTAAAAAAATACTCGGTAGAACTGTATTCTATATTATTTTACCTTCGCTTCACCTCAAGTATGAACGTCGTTCATTTGAGTAAAATTAGATGAAAATAAGATCTTCTTTTTTTCTAACTCTTATCACAAAATTATTTTTTAATAAATAATTTGTGGGTTTTACGTTTATTATTCAATTTATAATGTTAAAAAAATTAAATTTGTATTTGTATATATTTCAAATTCTACTAAATACAAGATATTTTTTATTTTTAGTATTTAATAACACTTAATAAGAACATCATTTTATTTTTAAATTCAAAATTAAAAAAAAATATTAAGATAAAATTTTGTTTATAAATATCAGAGACCTGCAGAGGTTCCATTTGCACGACCCAACCCAGGTTTTATATTTACAGGCCCGGCCCGGATTTTTCTTAAAAATTTTTTATGGATACGACTGTATTGGTATTAATATCTCTTTTATGGTTTAAATAATATTTCTCTTATATTGTATTGCCATTGGTTTATATTGGTGATTGATTTATATTGGTTGTTATTGGTTTGAATTAGTATCAATTTAATTTAAAGAAAAATAAAAAACCTTAAACTTCTGATTATGTTTAAAATAAATATCATAATTTTCAAAAAGGATTTTAGTTAGATGTGTATCCTTGTTCATTAGAAAAGTTTTCAGGGTCACATAATATTATTTTTGTTTGGATTCTCTATATCTTTGACTTCAATTACAATATCCTAAATAAATAATTGTTATAAATGTATTCCTATGGATACAAAAATATTGCTATTACAGATGCTATATAATTAATATTGATAAATCGATATATTATTTAATCTTTTAAAGTAATAATTATTGTACCAATAATTTCCCCCATATATTTTGCTGTAATTCAAAACAAGATTATCACTGGTAAGTTAAACTTATACCAAAATATTTTTAGCTTTATCCACAAAATACAGCTAAAAATTCATCAAATGAATAAACAAATATAAGATATTTGTATTAATTATTTTTGTATAATATTATTATTGCTTTTAAACCAATATATCCTTACTATCAGATTGATTTACCAGCAAATGAATAAACAAATATAAGATATTTGTATTAATTATTTTTGTATAATATTATTATTGCTTTTAACCCAATATATCCTTACTATCAGATTGATTTACCAGCTATTGGTATTGGCAATGAGTGATATTGAATAAATCAATACTGTATCTGATCTGATTTATTAGTATCGTTGCTAGTCCTAATGATGTTATCTTCAAAATACATAAGGGTGTATATATTTTATTGTCTATAGACTTTGAAAAAGCAAAAACACCATCCTAGGCAGCCTAAATATTTTGAGCAATAAATCACTACTTAAAATATTAACGATTACTATTTTATTTTGTTATAAAAAAACATTTTTTTTAAATATAAATTTATAATTATATTTTTCTCTACTCTAGTCTATATAAATAAACTAACTTGCATTTATGACTATTATGAGTTAATAAATTTTTGCCTTTATTTTTAAAAATATTTTATAGGATAGGACGTGTTTAAAAAAATATATTACAAAAAAATTCATAATAATAAACATTAAAAACTTGCCATAACTCAGCTTTTAATAAACCTTATAAAATTTTAGCAAACTTCATCTCTATACTGAATAATTATTTAAAAAATTATACTTAAATGTTAAAAGATTTTTTTTGTTAATTGAAGCCATTATCAGATTTGGTCATTATATTTTTTTATTATATTCATGCTCATTTAGACAGTTTTTCACCATACATACTATGTTATAATTGCAATGCAATTTATTCATTTTGTTATTGCAATTTTCTAAAAAAATTATTTGGAAGAAATGAGTGTTATGTGTGAATATCTTTAAACCAAAGTTTATTGCCTTATATATATTACATATTATTATAAGCAATAATATTTAACATTCAAAAAAAAAAATTCTGCGAAAATTTATGCACACTTATTTTAGACGTCGATCAAAAAATGCCCGATTCGAAATGCATCTTCCTTTACGTCGTCATGATTTATGAAAAATTGAACAAGGTAATATTATCTAAAAAAGGAAATAAAATTTTATATAAATTACAAAATCAACCTGAAAGAAAGAAAGAAAGAAAGAAAGAAAGAAAGAAAGAAAGAAAGAAAGAAAGAAAGAAAGAAAGAAAGAAAGAAAGAAAGAAAGAAGAAAGAAAGCAAGAAAGGGAAATAATGAAATAGATTAAGAAGATAAAATGTTAAATAACAAATATTTCTGATAACAACCGAAACGTTGTCATCCATTTGAAAATTGCCAGAAATTACTAAAGCTTTTCGATTCGAATTTTTTTTCACCGATTCGACATTGAAAATTTTTAAGCTTTACAATTTTAATTTTAGGCTTTTTATTTTTAAAATGTAATCAGAAATGCTTTCTTAATTCTTAATGGATCAAGGATAATTGCTAGGAGAGAGTATATATTCATTTCATATAATTTAATATATAATCGAATTGGATTAAGATTGAACCATAATTATGATCATGAATATTTTATTCGAAATGATATAAAATCAAATTTAAATAATTTTAACTTGAATGAAAAATAAAAATGATTAATAAACAAAGTTATAATCTATGGCGAAGAAATTTGATAATAATCAAAAATTGTAAGTAAATGATAATTTTTTAAACATTTTTCTCAAAAATAACCAATATCGGCCCGAACCAATTCCTATCCGTTATATCGGGAATCCCTCGAAATTATCAATAATTACAATATAAAAAAATATATGTTTTTACTGATGATAAATTTGTAGATTATATATTTGTTGCACTTTTGCAGACCATTTAGTAAGATTTTTTAAACGGTTGATAAAAATAATATTATACAAAAATTTTTTAACCTAAAGAAAATCCCTCCATTACTTACATCCACACCGAAAGCGATAGTTAAAAATGGAGATATCGCCGAATATTGGGAAAAATTAGATGAAGTTACTGCCTGGCTCGAGGGAGCCGAAAAAGAACTCGGCAAAAATACTACCATATCAGATAATATAGATGGTGTCAAGGAACAATTTAACACCCATGAGGTAATTAAAGAGATTTTCTCGAATTTACAAAAAAACTTCATACTTATTAATACATATATGTAATTTATTACTTTGATTAATTTTTTTTATTAAAACTATACCAACTTAAACTGAAGTTTTAAGAAATGGGATGAAATTTAATAAATTATAATCTATCTTTATATAAAATTCACCTTCCATAATTTTAGATTATGTTGATTTTAGTTTGAATTGTTTCATGTTGTATGATAAAATTGACTATTGCTGTGTATGAGCATTAATGCTCGTCTAATCTTCTAAAAGAAAATACTGATAGTCATCCTTATTTAGTTTTTTATAGTAATTACCAAGAAAAATCGGAAAAAGAAGGAAAAAAAAATTGAGTATAGGTTGCAATGTATAAATTTCTTTAAAACCATAAATATCAATAACAGAGTTTCATAACTAGACTGATGAGCCAACAGGCTGACGTGTTCAATTTACTAAAAAAGGGCAAATCTATGCTGGAAGATAGATCTATAAACATGGATAAAGAGACACAGAGGAACATGATAGATAAAATGAAAAGACTTAATAACATGTGGGAAACCATCAGAGTTAACACTCTCAATTTCCAGTCCGAGTTAGTTTTATAATTGATTTGTTTAATATATAGTATTTCGGAAATAATTTTTACATGTTTTACATTGCGCATAATTGAACGTTTCAAATGTAAATAATGCTTTTGAAATGGTATCACACAAATTGGTCAAATTACTGTTTGGCCTTAGAAACCATTTTAAAAAAGGCAAACTTACATTTTTTAATACCTTTTTATTGATTCATTTTTCACGTTCGTCTGCAACCATTTCTTTAAGAACTCGGTTTTTTTCGCAAGAGAGCCGACAAAACCTTGTTACCCAGATAAGAATAATATGGGGATGGGCACTAAAAACCCTTATTGAATTATATATAGCTCATATTTGTAGTATTCGACAGATATTTTTGTATAAATTTCTTTATTGTATTTTATCATAAAATCCCCTTCTTTTTGTTTATGAAATTCACAAGATAATGCCAAAATAATAAAAATAAACATTTTAAACAAAATTAATGAATGAAACAATTTAATACACACATTTATCCTCAATCTAATTGGTTTCGTCCCTATTTTTAGGATATCGATCTTAACCTCTTGTAGTTTCTTTTATGTAATACTTCCATCAGCTTCTTGACTTGTATCATTTTCCTCCCTCTCCTTTAGGTTCATTTCATCGTTATTGTTTACTACGGCCTCTTTGTTTAATTTCTCTTCGGTTCTCTTCTACTTCAGCTCTCTCTTCTACTTTGTACTCTTCGGTTAATATATTTTCGGTTCTTTTCATCAGTGTGACATATAATCGTTTTACCCTCTATACTTACTTCATTTCATAGTGATTCACGTATGCTTTTAATAATGGCTTTTCCCCATTTTTTTTCTTTATTATTGTAGATGCCCGATCAGACTTTTTCATTTATTTCGAATTTTTGAGTGTAGTATTCTAACTTCTCCTTTTTGTTCCCCCGTTCGAATATTTGGTCTAATCGGTTTAATTTTTAGTAGTATTTCAGCGGGACTTTGTTTAGTTTCAGCCCCTGGGGTATTTCTGTAATTGTATAGAAAAATAGCTAGACTGGTTTCTAAATCCCCCTCTTATTCATGCTCTGTTTAAATGTTTGAACTAAACGTTCGGTCATGCCGTTTGTCTGAGGATGGTACTTCTGTGCACTAATTGTATTCCGTTTTTTTCGCAGAAATCATGGAATTCTTTGCTGCGAGTACGACTTATTTTTTGCTTTATTTTTTTATACGCATTTTTGCATTCATTTGTCCATCTCCAAACTACTGCTTTTTCTAATAAATAGTATAATGGTTTGGCTTTGTCTGCAGAATTTGAAATAAATTTTGAATAATATGTTGCTCATACTAGAAATGACTGTAATTGCAGGGTTGCAAATATCGCGGATATTTGTATCTAAGTTTATATTTTGGAAGGTAGTTTATATCTCAGATACAAAATATTTAAAAGTATCTGTATCTTAATCTTTGTATTTAAAAAGATTGAGAAACTTAAAAAAAAGATTTATATTAATTAATTTTAATAATTAAAAATTATTTTAGAATTTAAATGAAAAATTTAAACAAATTTAGATATTTTAAGATAATGTATGATATGACGTTGGTCGTCATATAGCAATTTGCAAACAACTGCAATATTTTATTTAAATCGTTTATATCCATCTATTTTAAAATAATGATTGAAGAAGAAGATAGAATAATATTTTATCTTCCTCAGATGATTCTCCTACAGAAGAATAAATTATAAATTTATGGAAATTTTTTTCAAGTCACTTAACATCAACATACCAATACAAATCATGAAATTAGTGTAGAATGTAAAGAATAACACAAATCTATAAGTGGCTCCGCGGACACGTCATCCAATTTTGTCAAGCATCTAAAAGTATAACATATATTTTATTATAAATCACATTTATAATTTATAATCATATTTATTATCATTTCATATCCCATATCAAGCTGTTGCTAAATTTAGAAATATTTTAAAATAAATTTTTATATTAATTATTGATGAAATTAAAATGATATATAAAAATCATCTATGAAGAATAAGAAAATAAATATTGATAAAAAAGAGGTTATTAATTTGAACAACCATTTTTATATGATATTACATAGTACAATATTTAATACACTTTCAAATGTATTTTTTAAAATTTTTACATATATGCTTAAATATTATTTTTTTAAATAAAATAAATAGATGACCCCATTATATTGCATTTAAAAAAAAATTCTTGCAAAAGTATCTAGTAAATATTATATTTTATTTAATTTTCATTAGTAATTATTATAAAATTTTAGCTGGTAATAATTAGAATTATTTATAAATAAGGCAATAGTTTTTTTCATTAATATCATAATATTTTAATATATATATACATTCTATCTAATTTTAAATTTTATTATTTAAAAATAGATTTTTTACAAAAAAATTAGGGCTAAGCAAAATATGACCTTTTTGGCACATTTGTTAAAATGATGGAAGGTAAATTTAATTTTTTTCTCTTATCCTTATCTCTTTTACTTGTCAATTTATTAGAAATATTATCTTGTATTCGATTACCATTATCAATTAAAATTTTTTCTCGAAGATCTTTGTAAAGAATAATTGATGAAAGCTTCAAATATGAATCTGATAATTTAAAACAGTTACTGAAAGATCAGGCATATATCTGCACTACTGCCGATATTTGGTCTACTAAGACTAGAAACTTTTTTGGAATGACTTGTCACTGGGTAATGAAATCATATGCTATTTTATTAATAAATTCAATTAAATAAATATTTAAATAAGCTCTCAAACGATAGTTTGCAAAGCAACCTCGGGACCTTGTTATAAGAAGATTTTTGATAAAATACCATAATTAGTTGATGAAATCCATCATAACTTTGGAATTGATGAAAAAGTTATAGCAACTGTGACAGACAACGGATCTTATTTTATCAAAGCTTTTAAGTAGTTTGGATATTCTATGGAAGAAGTAGAGAATGATTTCGACATCAATGAAGATGAATGTATAGAATTCGAAGTCATTGAAAGTATTATTTAATACTTCTTTTATTGTAAAATTTATAATGATATCGTAAATTTAATGAAAGATTTTTTTCAAATAAATTATTTATTTGTTTATATTTAAGGGTCCAAAGAAGAATTAATATCATTGCCTCAGCACATTTGTTGTCTATGCCATACGATAAACCTTATTGCCAGAACAGATGGCGAGAAAACTATTAAGGATTCTCCTACCATTTCTAGAATTCATCATCCCACACTAGCCAAATGTACTAAGTTATGGAATTCTAGTAATAGACCTAAAACTCTAGAGTTATAAAAGCAGTTTTAGGAAAACAATTAGTTACACCATACTGTACGAGACGGAATAGCATATTTGATAGCTTTATAAGTTTATTAAAATTTAAAAGAGGACTTCCAAAATTATGTAAACCAAAACTAAGAGATATTAAAATGCAATATTTAGAAGAGTATTGCCATATAAGTCGCCATTGGCTATATCGATTAACAAGATACAAAGCGAAATCAATTTATATTATGCAGAATCAGCTTTAATATTAAATGTTTTTAAAAAAAATCACAAGTTTAATTCAAACTGATCTACATTTTTGCAAACCATTAGCTATTGCAGTAGAAAATTCTCTAAATAAAATATTTAAAAATATATATGAATTTAATAATAACTTTAAAAGCGCATTTTTGGCCAGTATTTCTCATCCCTACTTTAAAAATGGTGATTGATGGTGAAAAAGGAAAATAAATATCCTCAGGATTTAATAATAAATGAATTTCAATTATTTTTAAAAATAATTTGAAATTAATATGTCAACAAAGTCTTCAATTGATGAAGATGATGATTACTTTTGCTTTAAAAGTACCACATCCAATTCTAATAATTCATAAAATGATATTGAATTAGTCCTAAATTATATGAAAGATGACAGGCGCAATATAAATATGTTAAATAGTTATAAATATATAAAATAAATATTTATTAAATTTAACTATTACCATCCTCTACCCCCGTTGAACGATTCACATGTGCTAATATGGTAAATAGACGAAATCGTCAAAGGCTTAACGACATATTATTTGAAAAATTAATAATGTTAAAAAATAATGCAATGATATTGATTTATTGATATTTACTAATTAATTTTTTGTTCTGATATTGTTTTCATTATTATAATATACAATTTTTTTTAAAAAAAAATCTTTATATCGTATTATCTTTTATAACAAATTTGTTATTTTCTATAATTTATTTTCATATTTTTTAGAAATTTATTATTAAAAAAAAATAATCTTCATACATTTTGAATTTGACTATTTAAATTTTTAAAAAGCATCTTGTATCTTGGATACTTTTTTTGAAAAGTTACGAGTATCTTGTATCTAATCAAAATTTTTCTAAAGTATCTTGTATCGTAAATACAAAATTTTATAAAGTATCTATATTCATTACAATTTTCTGAAAATTTCCCCAACCCTGTGTAATTGTTATTAAGTTTATTGGTACTGGTACTTTTTTTTACTGCCCAATATTTTTTCTATAGTTGTAATCCCATTTTTTGATAAATTGTGTACTAACTCGACACATTTTGTTTGAAAAATTAACATTTTCTAGCTTTAGCTTGATATCATTTTTGTCTAGATATTTTAATCATCTTAATAAACAAGCTATTTCTTCAAAACCTTTTAATAAATTCTCGAACCCGTTGAAATATTGCTGGAGAAGACGATGTACCTAAAGGTAGACGATATACCAAAAGTCTTGTGTATTTAAATAATCCTCTATCAGAGTTGGGCAAATTTTCAGAAAATTGTATTCGGATACAGATTTAAATTGGAGAAATTTCAATTAAATACAAGATACTTGTATCTTTTTTTAAAAATAGTATAAAAGATACAAGATACTTTTTTAAAAAAAACTTTAAATAGTCAAAATCAAAATGTATCAAGCTTTATTTTTTTTAACTATCATATAAATTTATAAAAAATATGA